GAAAAATAAAAAAAAGTCAACTGGACATCATCGGTGTCAGTGACAGAAAGGCATCCTACTCATATAATTAAGACTGGTTTTAAATTTGGACATTTAGAGGCTAAATATAACCACCATAATTCCTTAACCGGCCACAAAGCAAACCGAGTCTATGCTGGAGTCTAGTTAGAGAAACAAGGCTGCGTGTGGATATTTTTGCGGGGCCTTAGGAACGCTGGGGCTCAGGAAATCAGAGTGGCTCCAGCGGGCTCCGCCGCACGTCCGCGGGCCTCGCACGGGGCGGACGGGCTCGGAAGCAGAGAGGTCAGCTACCTGAGTCCTGGCCAGTGACAAAGTCTTAGACCACGCAGCTGATCAGAGCTGTTGTGAAGCTTCAAAGTAAAACTGGGTCCACGGCTGACCCTCAGCCTCCTGAATTGGAATTGAAAAGCCTCCGCAGGAGGCTCGCCTTGCCCTCGGGGCTGGGCTCCTACAGCCTCTGACTCCCCAAGGGAGGGCCAATCTGAATCTCTGCCCTGAGGGGCAAAGGGGAAATGCCCAAAGGGTGTGTTCATACTTAAAACTCTGCAGCGGTGGTTGCCCTTAGAGAAAAGTGAGCTGCTTTTCCACTGCCATAGACAACATGGGACATGTGGGGGCGGGGAGAACAGTGTTAGGGCTGTCACGTGGGGAACCTGCAGCTCACCAGTGCCAAGACCTGCTCCTGAGCGTACCACCTTCCCTTCAAGGCCGTCCAGAACCCTGCGTGTGGAACGCTGTGCAGAAGCAGGGCGGGTGGAACTGGGAAACAGGACCACCTCGATGATGAGTAAAGGAGAACGCGGTGCGGCGCCTGCAAATCACTGGGCGCTCTGGGCTCTGGGAAAGCCGTGCGGCTTCCTTGCTGGTTCCAGACTCACTGTGGACCGTGCTTATGACACAGTGACCACGGAGCTCCATTCCTGCCTGGTATGTTCAAACATGACCTCCGGGGCAGGCAGCGACCCCACTCTTTTGGGTTTTATCGCCTCGTAAATGTCAAAAAAACTTTTGGGAATTGACATATATGGTTATCAACTCTTACATCAGGTAAGGACAGTGAAAAAGACTAAAAACTATGATCGTGTCACTAAAACAGGGTTATTTCAATATTCAGGAAGGATAACTTCAGAATTTAAAAACTGCACACAGTGAACTTTAAAAACTACCCTCCGCTGCACGTGGCTTTCTCGCTTTCTGTGGACCGACCCGGGGTCTATCACCAGCTCGTCTCTGCAAACCAAGGCTCCTCGGCCTTGAACACAAGGGCGGCCAACCACCTGCACATATTAATTTACTCAAAGAAGTGGTTTCAGGGCTTTAAGGGAGCCCTGCGGAATTCAAGTGCAAAAGCCTCCCAATATCTCGCCTCAGCTTCCGATATTAATAACCGTGTTGAGTCTTGGCCGGTGGCTTGTTGGTTGGAGCAGCATCCCCTACACCAGAAGTTTCGGCTTCAATTCCAGGTCAGGGCGCATGTTTAGGTTGTGGGATCCATTTTCAGGGCACGGACATACAGGAGGCAACTGATGGACGTTTCTCACACCAGTTTTCTCTTTCAAGTACAAAAGCATATCCTCAGGTGAGGATTAGAAACAAAACAATGTGTGGAGTGCTAGCAACTATCAGTGCTTTAAAGAGAAGTAAAAAAGACATATTGTGGCAAATAGACGCACAAAACTTAATGTGGAAGGTTTTTTAGTAATGATCCCATCCCTGTGGTTTTCAAGCTAGTGCTCCATGGAGCCACAGAGATACTCCTCGAACCTAAAGAGCTCCATTTTAATTGCTTTAAATAGTTGAGCTTCCAATTAAGATAGAGTTCAACTGCTTAAAAAAATGCTTGGATACCACTAATTCAGTCCCTCTCAAATATCAAGGGGAAACTGAGGCTGAGAGAAGCCCAAGGTTTGCCCGGGGTCACCTGTGTAATTGGCAGAACGTGGTGGCACAGGACAGTGAAAAAGACTAAAAACGATGATCGTGTCACTAAAACAGGGTTATTTCAATATTCAGGAAGGGTAACTTCAGAATTTAAAAACTGCACACAGTGAACTTTAAAAACTACCCTCCGCTGCACGTGGCTTTCTCGCTTTCTGTGGACCGACCCGGGGTCTATCACCAGCTCGTCTCTGCAAACCAAGGCTCCTCGGCCTTGAACACAAGGGCGGCCAACCACCTGCACATATTAATTTACTCAAAGAAGTGGTTTCAGGGCTTTAAGGGAGCCCTGCGGAATTCAAGTGCAAAAGCCTCCCAATATCTCGCCTCAGCTTCCGATATTAATAACCGTGTTGAGTCTTGGCCGGTGGCTTGTTGGTTGGAGCAGCATCCCCTACACCAGAAGTTTCGGCTTCAATTCCAGGTCAGGGCGCATGTTTAGGTTGTGGGATCCATTTTCAGGGCACGGACATACAGGAGGCAACTGATGGACGTTTCTCACACCAGTTTTCTCTTTCAAGTACAAAAGCATATCCTCAGGTGAGGATTAGAAACAAAACAATGTGTGGAGTGCTAGCAACTATCAGTGCTTTAAAGAGAAGTAAAAAAGACATATTGTGGCAAATAGACGCACAAAACTTAATGTGGAAGGTTTTTTAGTAATGATCCCATCCCTGTGGTTTTCAAGCTAGTGCTCCATGGAGCCACAGAGATACTCCTCGAACCTAAAGAGCTCCATTTTAATTGCTTTAAATAGTTGAGCTTCCAATTAAGATAGAGTTCAACTGCTTAAAAAAATGCTTGGATACCACTAATTCAGTCCCTCTCAAATATCAAGGGGAAACTGAGGCTGAGAGAAGCCCAAGGTTTGCCCGGGGCCACCTGTGTAATTGGCAGAACATGGTGGCACAATGAGTGGCAGGAAGGACTCGTGTTGTCACCTCAGTGACCTCCAACGTTCGCGATCTCCCACTGCTGCTCTGCCTGCTGGAGCCTTCCGACCGGCTTCTTCTCACACTGGGCCTGCGCCCTGCGTGCACTGCTGCTGCGTGAGAGCGATGACAGACAGACCTTTCGCTGGCAACTGCCGGAAAGTAATTCAAACTCCAGGCCTGTATGTTTGCTCCCATCTTGACTATTTCTGATGACAGTCTCTTTAATAGTATTTTATTATATTTAAAGAGTATAGAGCTAATATTTTTATGGAATTTTATGATTGTCAGGTTATGTCCATGTACAAAATTTAAGGTATTTTATATTATGAAAGACACACTATTATTAAAATGCCTCAACTCTACTATCTGTTCTATACACTGAGATGAAGAGGCTTCTATTTGCTTATCTGAGCTCCATGTACCACGGATCGCATGGGGCCGAGAACATTTATGGCAAGTCTAGCACACCGCAAACACATTCACTTTGTAGCAAGCACCTGGGTGGTGAAATGTGGCAGATGATAAGTCGACACAACTCAGCTGCAGGTAGCAAAACAAAACAAAACACCCCCCACCCCCAAAAAACACCCTGAAGAAAAAAACTTTACATAACCTACAACAATGATTTTTCAAACTGTGGTTCTCAATCATTAGTGGGTCATGAAATGAATTTTGTGAGTTATGAGCACACACACACACACACACACACACACACACACACATATCCATGTACAAGAGCCAAAAGTGCAATAGAGGAGAAAATGCCCAAGTATCCTGCATGCCTTAGGGTAAATATGATTTCATAAACCTTTCCCCTCAGTCATATGTCTGTATGAACACATACCTCCTGCTATGATGTAAAATATATTTCACAGCCCTCAACATTGCCCCAGCAAAAAACATACTCGGCTGCTCAGTCCCTGGAGGAGAGATTTCTTTCGGACTTTCTTTGGTCATTTCTGAGCAGCGGCTCCTCCCCCCGGGTCCTCTGAGGGCCTCTCCCCTCCGTACAGTGACAGGGACCCCTGAGCACCACCGCTGCCCGGTTCACCGCCCTTTTCTGGGAACGCCCGCCAATCAGCCTGCGAGCTCAGTGGGGGAAGCTGCTACGGTGCATCTGAATGTGGTCAGAGAAGCTGCGGGTGTCGGCTGCCAGGTGCCAGCCCGGCCAGGCTTCACAGACAGGGTCCCCTCTGTCACCTGGAGCAGCGTCGTACCTGGACCGCTGCAGCTCCTAGCACAGTCCACTCAGGGGCTGAGCGAATGCTTCCAATGAAGGAATTCAGCAATGAGCACATGCCATTGGGTGTACACAGTATAAGTTAAATCCAACAGGATATAAGTTTCAAATAAAATATTTACTCATTTCTTTATACTTAAGAAATACAAAAGTACTCTACAAAGCTTTACATTGATTAGGTCCTAGTAGTTGTATGAAAAGTTGAGACAGTGACATCTGGGGCTAAGGTAATAATCATACTACTTCAGCATCCTATCTCATATGGTAAAGTTATACATTAGCCCTTTGATTCTGAGCAGTTATAAACTTACTATTTTAACATAATACCACATATTCAGTTCTATCACCTAGCAGCGGTTCTCAACCTGTGGGTCGCGACCCCTTTGGGGGCTAAACGACCCTTTCACAGGGGTCGCCTAAGACCATCAGAAAACACATATATAATTACATATTGTTTTTGTGATTAATCACTATGCTTTAATTATGTTCAATCATGAGGTCGCGGCATTAGGAAGGTAGAGAACCACTGAAAGTAATTTAACAACAGTAGACATGATACTGAGGGTAAAGGAAAACAGTTAACGTAATAATTTTCAAAATGTTAGTAAGAACATGTCAATGTACACTTGATTTGGGCAGGGGGTGAACATAATCTGGCCTATGATTTAATGGGATCTGGGAGAGTAAACCAAAGCTTTTTAAACTAGAAGGACGCCCATCTTGATCAAATTCGACCCCTTCATCTTTCACACTGGGGAACAGCTATAGACCAGAGTGAGTGACTGATCCAAAGTCACATAATGACTCAGCAAGAGAGATGCCCAGGTCTCCTGGTAAACACAGAATTGTTTCTATTGCTTAAGAGGTTTACAGAATACAATTAATTTTTATTCTATAAATAAAATTACATTTTATAATAAATCACATGAATAAAATCATAACTTTAAAAAGATCAAATAAGATATCAAGGAAAGCAAATACATGATAACATTTTGGACTTAAAAAATAACCCTAGAGCAAGAGTTTAATAAAAATAAATGTTGACAAGTGTGTTCAAGTTAACATAATGAGGCTGAAAGAGTGTTGTAAACGTTGATGGCAGAAATCTGTATGTTTATGTATTATTCTTGCGTTTTGGTTGTGTTTTCATCTGCATCACTTGAATGTACTTTTTTCCACAGAAAGTTCTCGTTGGATTTCCAAAGCGGAGTTTCTGGCTCCCCGGTCCTGGAGGGTGCAGCCAGGGGCGCTTTTTCACACAGAGTCTCTATCACCGCCAAGTCGGTGAGTTTGCTGAGGCTGTCGTCATTCTGCTCATTCAGGATGTCCCAGAAATCTTTTGGTCTCTGTTTTGCTTTTTCCATGGGCCCTGAAAGAATTTTCCTTGGCAGTCGTGTGGGGCTGTTCCCGTGACTTTTAAAGAGGTCATCAAGAATAGAGGTGTCACCCAGTAAGCCTACCACAGAAATCTTTTCTAACACTGGATTTTTTATCTTTTTGTTTTCCATTTTGAAAAGGGGTTCATTTCTTGAACTGCCCATTCTTGCGAGGCCCTGCTGGTCTTTCACAGTATTTTCTAACCTTCGCTCACATGCTTCAGGCTCACTGCTCAGGGAACTGGACGCTGTGGGATCTTTGGATACTTGGCTGTGTTTTTCAATGTTAGTCCCTTGGGCAGAGCTCATAGGTAATTTTGGAGTTTCTGCATTGTTAGAAAGCAGCTCTTCTCTACAGAAACCATGACTTTGAGGCTTAACTGATTTTTCCGTATATCTTTTTAGGCTGCAAATTTGAGAATTCTTTTTGGAATTCTTTTTGTCATCTTTAAATGACAAAGTTTTGGAATCTGGCAGCTTTTCTTTTATAGAAGACTCTCTCTTTTCAGACTTATTCCTGCCTCTCTTTCCTGCCTCGTGGACAGGTTTAACGAGTCCTGCAGCAGAATCCACAAAAAAATCTTTGACCTCTGGATACTGAGAAGCATAAAAGTCTCTTAGCATTCTCTGTCGTTCTTCTGATGTGGCATTAGTTATATGTTGAGCAAATTCCTTTACCGAAGACAAATTAAAATACGAAGCCATTTCTTCAAATTGCTTTCTGAAGATTTAATGAACAAAACTAGTGGTTATTTTTATTACATTGTATTTCTAAAGAACTTGTCATCATGACATGAAATGTAGAAACAAAACAATCTTATTCCTTTAGTATATATTACCTTAATTCCATAATAAAAGTGCATCTTACACTAGCAGAATGTGACTTATTTCTTTACACTAGTGAAAAAATGTTTTAGCTCATGAAATCACCAACTTTAAAAATTATTCTGATTTATACTATTAGGTATTTCCTGGGAATTATGAGATCCTGGCACGCTACTCTTCCAGTCAGCCAATTTATGACTGACATGAGAATAATAATTCATATAATCTGTATTTGAAAATCTATATTGCATTCAAGTTCCATAAAATAAAATTGTCAAAGAAGGGTCTTAATAAATAGAAAAGAAAACATTCTGAAAAATAAGAAAGGAATTTTTTACTTCTCTGTCCTTTTTCCCCTTCTTCCACACAAATACAACATGAAATTTCACACAACTTTTTGATGAGCCTAAACAAAAGTTCTAAACTTACAAACCTAGATTCTTTCTTCCCCTAATTGGTCCGATTTCAGTATAGACAGCTAAACTAAAAGGTGAGATGCTATTCTTTCCCCCACAGAACTAGGAACAAATAATCCTAAAATGTATATGGAGCCACAAAAGACACTGAATAGCCACAGGAATCTTGAGAAACAAGAACAAAGTTTGAGGTATCGCATTACCTGATGACAAACTCTACTAGAAGGTCATAGTAATGAAAACAACATGTTACTAGCATAAAACAGACACATAGATAAATGGAAGAGAATTGAGAGCCCAGAAATGAACCCATGCCTCTATGGTCAATTCATATGTGACAAAGAAGGCAAGAATATACAATGGGGTAAAGGCAGTCTATTCAATAAGTGGTGTTGGGAAAACTGGACAAATACATGCAAATAATGAAATGAGACCACTTTCTTATACTGTACACAGAAATAAACTCACAATGGATTGAACACTGAAATGTGATATCTGTAACCATCAAACTCCTAGAAGAAAGCATAGGCAGTAACTCTCTGATATCGCTCATGGCAATAGTTTTTTTGGATATGTCTCCTTGGGCAAGGGAAACAAAATAAAAAATAAACAAATAGAACTACATCAAACTCAAAAGTTTTTTCAGAGCATAGGAAACCATTAATAAAACAAAAAGACAACCTACTGAATGGAAGAAGATATTCACCAATGATACATCTGATAGGAGTTAATATCCAATATTTATAAAAAACTCATACAACTCAACAACAAAAACCCCCAAAGAATCCAATTAAAAAATGGGCAGGAGACCCAAATAGATATTTCTCCAAAGAGGACATACAGATGGCAATAGACATATGAAAAGCTGCTCAATGTCACTAATCATCAAAGAAATGCAAATTAAAACCACAGTGAGCTATCACCTCACACCTGTCAGAATGGTTGTCATCAATAAAGCAACAACAAGTGTTGGTGAGGATATGGAGAAAAGGGAACCCTCCTTCACTGTTGTTGGGATTGCAAACTGGTGTAATCACTATGAAAAACAGTGTGGAGGTTCCTCAAAATATTAAAAAATAGAACTACCTTATGACCCAGCAATTTCACTTCTGGGTATTTATTTGAAGGAATCCCAAACACTAATTTTAAGAAATATATGCATCCCTATGTGCACTGCAGCATCCTATATAATAAAAGGCTAATATGCAAATTGGCCAAACGGCAGAATGACCAGTCGCTATGACACGCACTGACCACCAGGGGTCAGATGCTGGCAGGAGCTGCTGCCCCCTGGTAGTCAGTGCGCTCCCACAGGGGGAGCACCACTCAGCCAGAAGCTGGGCTCACGGCTGGCGGGTGCAGTGGTGGTGGTGGGAGCCTCTCCCGCCTCCGAAGCAGCGCTAAGGATGTCTGACTGAAATCCCCCGAGGGCTCCCGGACTGTGAGAGGGCACAGGCCAGGCTGAGGGCCCCCCCACAAGTGCATGAATTTCATGCACCGGGCCTCTAGTTATTTATAATAGCTAAGATATGGAAGCAACCTAAGTATCCATCAATAGGTAATTGGATAAAGAAGATGTGGTACATATGGACAATAGAATATTACTCAGCTATAAAAAAGAACGAAACCTTACCATCTGTAACAATATGGATGGACCTAGGAGGTATTATGCTAAGTGAAATAAGTCACACAGAGAAAGACATACCAGATGACCTCACTTCTATGTGGAATCTAAAAAACAAAAACAGACAAAACAGAAACAGACTCATAGACACAGAGAACAAACTGATGGTTGCCAGATGGGAGAGGGGCTTTGGGGGCTGGGTGAAAAAGCTGGAGGGACTAAAAAGTACCGATTGGCAGGCACAAGAGTCACAGGGATGTAAAGTACAGCACAGGGAACAGAGTCAGTAACACTGAGGAACTGTGTACGGTGCCAGGTGGGTACTAGACGTATTGGAGATTTCACTTCATAAGTTCTATAAATGTCTACACTATGCTGTCCACCTGAGACTAATATAATAGTGAATGTCAACTGTAATTGAAAAATAAACACACACACGCAACAATAAAAGTGCATATGTCACTTCAAATATTCGGGAAAAACAGACTGGCACTGGGCAAGGCGGTGAGCTGCTGCTTGAGGAAGCGAGCTTCACGCTTAGTATAAGACACTAATTAAAGCTGCTACATGCATGTGTGGGAGATGGGCCTCTGGGGCCCCGGTGGGATGGCGGCGGAAAGGTTGTCTCAGACTCTGCTCCTTTCCCCAGGTGAGGGCGCTGTGGACTGAACTGTGTCGCCCCCCACCCCACAAGTCCTATGGTGAGGCCCTAAGCAGTCCTGGGTGAGTATATTTGGAGACAGAGCCTTTAGGAGGTAACTACAGTTAAATGAGGTCATAAGCAGTCACCAGCGAGCTCTCTCTGTGTCATGAGAAGACACAGTGAGGAGGTGGCTGCTGGAAGCCAGGAAGAGAGCCCTCACCAGGAACCAAATCAACTGGCACCTTGATCTTGGAGCTCCCAGAACGGAGAGAAATTTCTGCCATTTAAACTCCAGTCCGTGGTAATTTGTTAGGGCGCCCCGAGCCGACTAGGTATGACTGAGGATATCGCTTTGCTGATGCGGAGTCTGGGCCATGAGTCAAGAGAGCCCAATGTTTGTAAACATTCCTTTAAACAAAAGCCATAGATGGTATTGCAGCATGTGACTGAAAGTCCCCAAGTTTTAGAATTACATCTATATTTTATATACTATTCCTTAAAACATTCATTTATTCATTCAACAAATGTGTACAGAAGCCTCTGATGTGCCAGGCACTGGGGTAGGAACGTACAACAGCACAAGTCCTAGTTCCCTGTCCTCCAGGGCTTTCTGAAGGTCAAGCCCGAGCAGAGAGGGAAACCCCATGGTGGGGCCAGTGCCGCGCCCAGAGGGGACCTAACCAGTGACTGGCAGTGGGCACGGCAGGGGGGAAGGCTTCTCCGCTGTCCCCTGAGGCCAGTCAGGCGAAGATGAGGGATGAGGCCTTCCAGGGAGAGAGGCCCTGGTGCACAGAAGGGAAGAGAAAGTGCCGAGGACCAGCTGGAAACCGCGAGGGGTCCCTACGCCACTTTCAGTTTGAATTCTGCACATGACAGAGAATCCTGAGGGTAAGATTTTTAAAAAATGTGTGTAAGTAGAGCTTATTTTTGCCACTCCTACAGGCACTATAACGTTTGTTTCCTTTGATTTTAGGGGCAGTCCTCACTGTGCCTCATGGCTGTGGCCTCAGGTGAGCAGCATGGTTCCATCCTCCCCACCCCGGGCCTTACTGTCCCAAATCCAGGTACGAACTCTGGCTGATCAGCAGCCATGCTCGCGGCCAACAGAATATTTAATAAACAAACATAAGCTTCCAAGTTTCTGCCCTGGAAACTGCTCATGTCCTTGCTGGAAAGCAACAGCATGTTCTTAAAAGGGTCCAGTTTTCACTTCACGTGAAGCAACCACGGTACTATCATTTTGTTTATTAATCGTCTCCAGATCCACTCTCATGGTCTTTCTAATATTTATGTGTGAAGACTGCTATTTACCCAAGGCTTGGTGGTGCCTCAGCAGCTGCCCCAGGCCATCGCCTTGGCCGCTCGGCCCTCTGGGAGGAGGCTGCTGTGACCCGGATGCAGTCAGTTACGCTGAGAGTGTTACTGGAATTGCTCTCAAACGGTGACTCTGCATTGCCCAGGAAGGCTAGTCCCACTAAGCTTGCTTTTCTGCTTTATAAATGATCTCTTTCACAACTTTCCTCTCCCTAAATCTCTCTCCCTCTGAACTGATGACTTTCATTGTCCTTTAACTGAGGAAATATCACTGTATCTGTGCCCATCTTAGCCTCTTCTCTGTTAAGGCCTGGCAAAGACTGCATTTGGCCAGTGGCCTAGATCCTGCCCTCTCCTGCCTCCAGCACTTCACTCTTTTCATTCACTCTGGCATGACCTCTCTTTTCCCGATTAGTCTGTTTCCTGGACACACACAGGTTCTATTATCTTACCAATTTAAAAAAACTTACCCTTGATCCCACAATGCCCTCCCGCTGCGGCTCTGCTTCATATTCCAACTTAAAGAGCTGTCACGGGTCTGCCCACTCACTGTTTGCCCCCCTCATCCCAGCACTGTCTACTCAGACTGCTCAGGTCCGAGCAGCCAGTGTGTTCTCTGCTGCCCACTCCAGGGGCACTTCCCACAACATCTGATCCAGGTAAGAGCTCTCTCCTTTTCAAACTCACTTCTCTCGGACTTCCAGGCCTCACCGTGCCTCCTACTCAACAGGCCGCCTTCACCTCCAGGCTCAGTCCTGGGGCTCCTCCTCTCCTCTGTGCTCCCTTCCTGTGCTCTTCAGTCCCAGGGCTCCAAACACCATTTATAATCTCTACACAGAGATTCTAAATTTAATTCCTAGTCTCAAGATCCCAGAAGAGCAATCCATCACCTGTTCAACATTTTCATAGGACCTCAAATGTAATATGAGCCAAAGAGAACTCCTGTTTTGTGTTTTGTTTTGTTTTAAACTCCAAACTTGTTTCTCTCTTAGTTTTCCCCGTTCAGTAAAACCAACTTGTTGCTCAAGACAGAAAGTTGGGAGTTATTCTGTCTTCTCCCTTTCCCAGCAACCAGTCCAACACAAAACACATTCATTTAGCTGTGTCTCCATGGCAACCACCCTACTGCAAACCACCATCACATGTCTAGTTAGTTCCTTCTGGTCTCCCCTAGTCCATGCTGCCCTCTTCCACACGGAAGCTGGAACAATGTTTTAGAAACATACAGCAGATCCTATCCTGCTTCAACAGCCTTCCACCGCACTTGGAACAAAATCCAAACCTCCCCACAACCCACCACTCTGCATCCTCCAGCTCCGTCATCTCTCCCTTCATCTCATGCCACTCGCTCCTTGGTTTATTATGTACTGAGTGCACTGGTCGTCTCTCGGTTCCTCAACACACCAACCCTCTCCCCTCCGCAGGGATGTTCTAAGTCTGGTTCTTTGCCCAGTTATCCCTCGGGTCTCATGGTACATGTCACTCGTGTAGTGCAGTCTTCCATGACCACCCAAGAGAAAGGTAGCTACACCCCTCCCGACCCCATTATTCTCCATCAAGGAGGCCTGACCCTTCCCGTCTCATAAAAAGTGTACCATTATGCAATTCCTATGTTATTTTACTTTTGAAATTTATGCGTCAATGCCAACCCCCATCCCACTGAACTATAAACTCTGTCTTTTTTTCTTTTTTTTTTTTACACTGTAAATGCAGTACCCAGCATAATTTATGCGTCAATGCCAACCCCCATCCCACTGAACTCTGTCTTTTTTTCTTTTCTTTTTTTTACACTGTAAATGCAGTACCCAGCACAATGCCTGGGTACATATGAGGTGTTCAACAGATATTAAATAAGCGAATGAATATAATGCACTTAAGTATTTCATTTACCTACATAAGTGATTTCCTTTTTTTTTTTTTATCAATTCAGAGATTAGCTTTCTAAAAACATCTAAAACATTTGCAATTTATTTTTTAAATTGTACAAATTCAGATTTTTCTGAAATATTCAGATGCCAGGTATGGCTAACATTAAAATAGCTTGTTTTACTAAGGAGCTGTGTTTCCTTTGAGAATCACTCTTAGAGTCCAGTGTTGTCATAGGCGACATACCTGCGAACCCCTCTTGGTGTTTCTCCCAGTATGAAGGTGGTCTGGTCTGTATGGTAGACTTTCTTCTTCTTCTGGCTCACGGGGTGTGCAATGTAAAGGGGACACGAAACGTCTCCTTCACTTGCTTGTTGAACTTCCTTAGCATGTGTCGATGTATCTGCCTTCGTTTTGTCTTTATATGTCTGAAAAAAGGGAAGGAAGCAAAACGAAGTCTCAAAAATAGTCATTTTTGGTCAAATGAGGGGACTGTGTTGTTTAAAATAATCAAATATATCATATTCTCCAACTGATATTATTATCAGAAGATGTTAACATAAATATTTAAAAAGACACATCATCAAAACAGGAAAGTAATGGTAATACTACTATGTTTCCATTGTAGCTATGGTTTAAGATATATGTTAAAGATATACCTTTCCTAAAGATAAAGTAAAAGTAATGGCAATAATATATTTCTATTGGCAAGACTGGGCATAATGATACACATGCTGACATCCACTATCCTAAATAAGAATAAAAATTAGTGATTATATAAATAATGGCATAAAAATGGGATATTTAAAAATTTTAATTTGGTAATTTTTCTCAAAATTATTAAGAAGACTTTCTCAGTTTTTATGTAAGTAGTGTAAGTAAGTAGTCAAATTGAAAAAATCATAATCTTTATGTGATAATTAGATAAGAAAACATTTTCACAAATCCCACTTTACCTACTGGGTTATAAGAATATTTAGTGACTTAAAGATGCTAACTACAGTTAATTGAAATTATAGATGGAATCATATTTATTTTACAGACTATGGGTTATTTGGTTAACATAATTGTTAAAAAGAGTGGGCCATTTAAACCATATGGCTGCAATTTCCCTGACAAGATGGTACAGTGAATATGTGGAAAGTTACCATCCCATTCCCCAAAAAGAAACAGTGGATACAATTTGACAATAAAATTGTATTTGAGTTTAAAACTAAGAAAGGAAAATCTCTAGGTGCCCAAAACAAAGAAGTAAGATTAGAGTGGTGAGAAGGAGCTGAAACTCAGTAGCCACCAGGGATAGAGTCTTAAGTTATAGTTTGCAGGACTCCATGTGTGGAGGGGAGATAAAAAAAATGTTTTAATTCCCTGAATTAAAAAAAAACAGCCATCCCCAAAAAATACAGTAGCAGTTAAAATTATATCCAATTTGCAAGTTAAAGCAAGAAAACCCCAAACTGGAGACACAGGATAGAAGCAGGCTACCTTCTTACTCTAGACAGAATCACTGGTGAAAAAATGAAATGCCAAGCCTGTGCCATTTGTGGAATCTGACTTTGTAGAACCTAGGTGATATGGAAAATCTAAGTTAAAAACTAACAAAGAAGTGGCCTAGAACCACTGAAAATCATAAGATCTCAATGAGGAGTAAATACAAAAACATACCAGAGGAAGGCATCAATAATCTAGAGAATGCTTGTGATTTCAATTTAGGATCATGTAAAAACCCACCATCATGTAAGTGGCAGATGCAACAAATGTGAGAATATATATCTGAGAAACTATAAGTAAAGCCATCTGAAAGACTTTAAATCATTAGCATGTCCACAAAGAAAAAGAATGAATCCATCAGCAAGAACTGTATATTATACTAGAGGCCCAGTGCATGGATTCATGCAGTGGTGGAGTCCCTTGGCCTGGCCTGTGGGGATCGGGCTGAAACCAGCTCTCCGACATCCACTGAGGGGTCCCAGATTGTGAGAGGGTGTTCTCGGGTGACGCACCCTGGAATTGGGCTCCCTCCTCTCTGGTTCCAGGTGTGTCACCTGAGAACTGCAGATGCCAAGTCACCACAGCTTGGCAGCTCCTGCATTGAGTGTCTTGCCCCCTGGTGGTCAGTGCACGTCATAGCTACAGATCAGATGGTCAAATGGTCGCTTAGGCATATATATATATGCAGATTTGAGAAAGAACCAAATACAATCTCTAAAAAGGAAATATAGTTTTGAAATGAAAAATAAAGATAGAAACAAACTCAAAATATGGGTTAAACAACAGACTAAACAGCCCTACTACCTACAATGATAGTTGATAAAATTGAAGAATAAAATTACTCAGAATACAGTACAGAGATTAAATAAGGAGAGAGAAAGAAATTAAGAGACAGAGGACATACCAGAGAGAACAGAGAAAATGGAAGAGAACTAAAGGCATGAATCCTCAAACCAAAAAAGGAGAATCCCTAGTAGAAAAAATAAATCTGTACCTTATTATATCACAGATAAAAGGAGTATCTTTAAAGTACCAGAAAGAAAAGACAAAATATCCCACCAAGAAATGATAATCAAACTAAAGGCAGACTTCTCATTAACACCACTACCACCACCACCATCACTACCACCACCAGATGATAGAGATAATGCCATCAACATGTAGAGAGGAAAAAACTGTCAATCTAGAACTCTATACCCAGTTAAACTATCATTTAAGAAATTTTCCAGACATACAAAAACTATAAGAGTTTACTAGACAAAGATTGTTGATGACGTATTATTTTTCTTTTATGGGAGTTCAATGGAATTGAAGTGGCATATATCAATGAATGTGGGTAGGTAATGGCTTTTTATTTTACCAATATTTACTAAGTACCTGTTATGATCCTGTTACCATGCTCTGCAATTGAGAACAAAGGTATTTACAAATACAAAGGTACAAAATACCCTTATATAAACATACACAAAATAAGCTTAAGGGACTTAAAATTGACAAGCCTATTTTTTAAAAATATGTTTTTATTAATTTTTAGAGAGAGGAAGGGGGAGATAGAAACATTGATCAGGGCCCCCTGCCCCCGCCCCCCCCCCCAACCCCCACTGGGGGTGTGTTTTACATCACAAGAAAACAAGAGCCTGCAAACCAGGAATGTGCCCTGACTGGGAATTGAACCAGAGACCTCTTGGTTCATGGACTGATGCTCATCCACAGAACCACACTGGCTGGGCAACAAGCCTATTTTTTTTTTAATATTTTGTTTTTTGAAGATGGCACATCTAGATTTTTCTTTTAAAAAGAAATCATTTATCTCTTTAACATCTGTTGAGGTTCATTTTACTGAAATAAACTGAATATAAGACAAAACATCCTATATAATAAAAGCCCAATATGGTAAGTGTCCGACCATTCAACCGTTGACCAGTCGCTAGGATGCACACTGACCACCAGGGGGAAGATGCTCTGACTGGTGGGTTAGCTTGCTGCTGGTGTCCAGCCAATTGGGACTGGGTGAGACAGGCCAGACATGCCCTGGAGCCCTCCCATGATCCCTTCTGGGCCGGCCAACCTCCCACGGTCCCTCGTCAGCCGGCCGGCCCCGATCAGGACTGGGCAAGATGGCCCTGATCAGCTCTGATTGGCCCCAATTGGGACTGGGTAAGATGGACCGGACACACCCCGGAGCCCTCCCACAGTCCTTCCCCGGTACCAACTGTGCACCGGTGGGGTCTCTCCACCTGGCCTGTGCCCTCTTGCAATCCAGGACCCCTTGGGGGATGTCAGAGAGCCGGTTTCGGCCTGATCCCCACAGGCCAGGCCGAGGGACCCCACCGGTGCACGAATCTGTGCACTGAGCCTCTAGTAAGACATAACTATCTGTCCTTTAACAGCAAACTATTTCTAATGAAAATAGATTTCTTTCAAAATCTACTGTGACTCATATGAACAAACACAATGTTGAAAGTACTTTTTCTAAATATAATTTATTAAAAATTTTTTTTATATATTTTATTGATTTTTTACAGAGAGGAAGGGAGAGGGACAGAGAGCCAGAAACATTGATGATAGAGAAACACCGATCAGCCGCCTCCTGCACAACCCCCAATGGGGATGTGCCTGCAAACAAAGTACATGCCCTTGACCGGAATCGAACCCGGGACCCTTGAGTCCGCAGGCTGACACTCTATCCACTGAGCCAAACCGGTCAGGGCTATAATTTATTAAATCTTAAAAAATTATTGATAATGAGAGGAAAATGCTGATCTTTAAAGATAAGTTTGAAAGAGATTTGAAGCATTTATTTTACACCACAAGAAAAGAAGATGAATGTTAAAAGTTCCTCATAAAAAGACTCATTATCTTAGATGATCTCTAAGAAAAAATGTTTGCATGAGGATAAAGGGAGTAAACTGAAAAAGAAGGAACTGTGCCAACCAAGAACACTCCCTCCTCATATACTGCAATTTCCGAAGTCATGGAGAAATCGTGCCAGGTAATGGCCATTTTTAGTTATTTACACGATTACGATGGGTCTTTTTGACTCTGGAAACATTACAAAGCTCATATTTTGTGTAGATACATTTTTCATAAATTAATTTTATAAACTCCAGGAAAATTTAGCCTTTCTAACCATACCTATCAGACATGTGGATCTTTTTGTTTTGGCCCGATGCACGAATTTCATGCAAGGGGCTCTGCTCTCGCAGCCCCTTGTAGCCTCGGCCGGCCCTCACAGCCCCTCGCAGGCCCAGCTTCAGCCCCAGCTTCATCCAGAAGGTCATTCTGCTGTTTGGTCTGATTAGCTTATTAGCTCTTTATTATATAGGATTTTAAAACCTCATTATTTTACACAATAATAAAAAGGAAAAAGCATTCATCTCTCACATGAGCTCAATGGTTCAGATTTCCATTTTAGTAGGTACTTTAACACTTTACTGAAAGGAGGCTGTGAAACAACATTTTGTTCATCTAATAAACATTTAGTGCTCTTGATATAGAAGTTGGTTTCACTACTTTATAATAAAACTAGAGGCCCGGTGCACGAATTCGTGCACAGGTGGAGTCCCTTGGCCTGGCTGGCAATCAGGGCCGTCTCACCCAGTCCTGATCGGGGCCGATGGGGGCCAGCCAGCCAGGGAGGAACCGTGGGAGGGCTCCAGGGCGTGTCTGGCCCTCTTGCCCAATCCTAATCGGCTAGACCCCAGCAGCAAGCTAACCTATTGGTCAGAGCGTCTGCCCCCTGGTGGTCAGTGTGCATCATAGCGATTGGTGAAGCGGTCGACCAAATGGTCAACCAATCTGTTGGACACTTAGCATATTACACTTTTATTATATAGGATAGTATCCTTTACAATGGTATCTATTACAACACAGATGCAACCCTTTATAATAGATTTCTTTACAATCCTTTAAAACTAATATAAGGAAAATAGTGCCA